CATTTACAACAGTTCATGAGACCTGCCAAAGAAGGGCCTTCCCCCAGTATTGTGACCTTTATCTTTGTGGTTAGCAGACGTTACAACTTTGGCAGGATAATTCTGTTTGATTGGCTGATCTATTCTCAGAAGTTATAAAAGTTTCACTGGGCACAAGAAAGTCAGCTTGCTGCAGGCCATTTATTGTATCTGAATGATGTGTGTTCATCTGGACTTTTTGTGGCATTGTGGAGAACAGGTTGGAGCAAAATTCCCTCTGATTTTGTAAATGCGAGTCGTGGTAATTTTGCTAAAGTGGTGTTTTCCTAGTGCAAACCAGTGACTGGGAGATATCCTCAAAGAGCACTTTGCTTTATTAGCCCATCTCTGAATAATAGCCTGTTGTCTCCACTGGGTGGAAAACTGAAAGAGAGGTATCACAAGGATATTCCTTTAACCCTTTCTAATAAAACAACATTTTTTTTTCATTGGAAGGTTAATTTTTTTCATACTTGAAGCAGGGTAATATTTTTGCTGTAATTCCAAGGAAAATCATTTGGACTATCAAGAGTCCTGTACCCTCTGTTTTCCTAGTTAGGTGACATGCATACAGCTATGAATTAAAAGGAGGAAGATCTTGGATATTGAGATGTGCAGCTGTACAATAAATAGTCCAGTTGCCTGGTGCGGAACAGGTGAGTTTTCCACATTAGTCTGTTAAGCCTTTTAGGATAAATTTTAGAATTAGCTGTTAGTTTATTTTTTTTTCTAACAGGAAATTTTAAAAAATTCTGATCTTCATTATGAAGATTGTTATTATGTTCATTATTACCTTTATTATGAACTGGCCAGCTCATGCTTTTGTGACACTTATTGTAGACTTCAAGAATTGGCTTAACAGTTCTGTGTTGGTACTGAATTATCCAGTAATTCCATTTTCTAGTGATGAAATAACTCAACTTGTGGTTGTGTTGTATGTGTTCTTATATTTTAACAAAAAGTGGGCGATCAGTATAGGTGGTGTAGGACTAGCTCTTCAAAATAAAAATGAGAGTGAAGCTGTACAGTGGGAGAATAAATTTAACTATGTAACCTTACAATAATTCATATTCTTATTTTAACTTACTTTATTGTCTCCCTATTTAAAAACAGCTGCTCCCGCTTTTTAGAAATTCACAAAATGCTGTTTAAATAATGTGTGTAATTGCAAAAAGTATAGTCCACTCTCTGTTTTTTTTTTTCCTCTTTAATTAGTGTTTCAGCATACTGGAAACATAAATACCCTTAGCTTTGTTACAGGCAGAATAACTAAGGTGATTGCCCTTCAGTTTACATCCAAGTGTAAATACCCTGTTTCCCAGTCTAGCAAGAACTAATAAGTGCTACTCATAGACGAACAAACTTTGTTGTGTAATCTCATTGATGTAGTGAGCACTTACACTGAAAGAAGGCAAGCAAGAATACTGTTTAAAGTCAGTCCCATGAAATGTCTGAGGTGACAAGAACCAGAATATCCATGGTTTGTTGTATTCCTTCGACATAGTTCATACTCATGGAACATATAAACACAGGTATATCAACTGTGTGGTTAGATGTAAACAGAATGACTTTACTTCAAATACACTAGGAAAACGAACCTATTCGTGTGGCATATTTTTTTCCAGTTTTTATTTTGAATTGCTTTACAAGTATATTCCATCCATCAAGTGAGCCCTTTTGACAGCTGACACCTTCACCCAGAGAACTCAGAGACCCTTGCAGGAGCTCTACTGCATCAATATCTTGTTGATGCATTATACTTATGTATAAGGACATAGAAAATTTACTGTGATGAGACCTCTGCAAGGTATTGACTCCGTTTCTTAGAGAAGTAGCGTCCTGTCTAACCAAGAGATCTGATACAGACAACAAAATCTTTATGTTAACCCCTTGATTTTCCATTTCAAACTCCCCAAATTGGGGACTCCAGTGTAAGTGTACAGAAGAAAGAGAAACTTTAAAAGCTGTGAGTGTGTGTATATATAGGGGTGTATGTGTGTGTGTGTATATATATGTATATATAGATTTGTTTGGACTGTCCTGTGAAGATACATTGCTAAAACCATCATAGGTTGTAATTAATGGATCTGTGGTTTGTTATAAATAAACCAAAAACCTTTACTGTGACTCACCAGCAATTGTTTTTGCAGAATTACAAGTTCCAGAAACCCTCATCCTAAGCATTTATTTGCCTAGCAGAATAAAATATTTCCTTAAGATCTTTCAAGCTTGTTACGAAGTCATGTGCTATATTAGGCAGTGCTGGAAATCTTCAGTGGTAAATAGAAATGAGTTTGTATATTTTGATCCGTGAGTGGCTATACTTTTGTCTCAGCTGGCACTTTGTGTAGCAGTGACTGAAAGCTCTGATTTTGTCTGCAAGAAAGCAGATTGGTGAATGGAAAGTGAAAAAGAAGTTTTGCTAAATGAAGATACTTTTTAACTTTCTCTGCACATAAGCCATGCCAGTCGTATTTCTTGTTTAGAAAGATGTAGATGTAGGAGCTTTAAAAATCCGTCCCCTTTCCTGCATTTAATCTGTTTTCCCTGGCTTTGAAGATCTAGTAATTTCCCAGTTACAGAATATTAGTTTCCTTCCTCTGAGGGTATTTCCCTGTAGTTTGCATTGCTATTTGTTTGACCTGTTGCAGCACATTATTTCTCTGAGCCTGCAGCTTTGAGAATTTTTTGCATCTTCCTGTGGGAACCTCTCCTATGTTTCATAGGGTGACCATTACCTTAAATGTCTTTAGGTTGCATACAGGAACATTCTGCATTTATTGAGACTTCCAGTGATAATTCTTCAGTTCAGTAAAATGTCACTTAAAAAAGTATGTTTGATTTTCATTGCGCTTCTACTTATTTACTCTGTTAAAAGTCTTAAGAGTCAAGAACAAAAAAATATTGTAAGGAACAATCTGTCATTTTGGATGTATATGTTTATATGTATGTTGTGTGTGTTTGTTTGTTTGTTTGAAAGTCTTAGTTTAAAGTAAGCCCAATGCCAACAGAATCAACATCTGTATTTTCAGTGCTAGTCTAGTGCATAGAAGTCTTCGAAAACATAGAAGTCTTTGAAGCCTTTGATGCTGGTTGAAATAGGTCCGTACAAGACTGCTTGTCCCCAGACTACAGGAATATAGAAAAGTGAAAGGGAAAGGATTTCCTTCTTGAAAAATAGTTCCAGCA